TGACAATGAAATTTGAGAGATGGAAAGTACTGTAGTACTTCAGCTGCAGTTTCAGTTTGTCATCCCTTTTGTATATTATTGTTGACTCTCTCAGCTCAATTGTTTTTTTTAATCAATTAATAGACACCCCAGCCAATCCCATTTGAATCCCATGTGACGCCCCACGTGGTGTCGTGACCCCAAGTTTGAAAACCACTGGCATGTGAAATGGTGTGAATAAAAAGCCTCTGGCCGCTTTGTAGGAAGAAAAAAAAACCCTGACCCTGTGACCTTTGCTAAAACAATAGGGAGTTGGATCTTGACTAAAAAAAATGACTCAAATTCTGTTTATTTCATGTACACACTGCTGCTGCTGCTAACTTTATTTTAGTCCACTGTAGAAGCACTGCAGCACCTCAGTTGCACTAAGGACACACAAAGCACCAGAAGCAGGTCAGGAGTGAGAAGAAGAAAAAACAGCCATCAGTTTGTTAGCGTGGTGGAAATGAGATGATTTTTAATTCATACTGCTAATGAATAAGTGATTGGCCTCAGTTTTGGGGGCCAGGCTTTAAGGCACGGCACATATGGGGAATAAAGAGGGGCACAGATGCTCCTCAGGGCCCAAGGGCTGACAGGCAAACTTGAGAGGGACACAGGAGCATGAAAGGAAGCAGGAGACCAAATGTGAAAAGCAGTGAAATAAGACAGGCGTGCTTAACAGCGAGCCTCGGTCCCACTGTGCAGAACTAACCCCATAAATCAGCGCCCAAAAAACCCCGGCGTCTGAAGTGCCAGTTCACCACGGGGGCTGGAGAAGATGCTGCTTTAAGAGGCTTGACTCTGAGCATTAGGACCTGTCCTACTGCAACCTCCGAAAAGTAAAAAGCTCAAAGAAAGGTCTTTGTTACTGTAGTCATGCACTGCCAGGATGGCACTAATGGAAGCACCGAGTACAGAACATTAAAGAAATGTCCATCATGTCTTACAGGAGGAATCAGTACTTAAATGTCACATACATGCTGCACAGCAAACACACATGCACATATTCTGCAGAGCCCTCGGTGCCGCCGAAGCAGGAGGAGGATCTTAGCTCCATCTACTGGTGGCGATGTGAATAATCTCCCGCTCCGTGGCTGAAGGGGGGATAAACACCAACCGAGTTCCCCCTAAAATCATTTTCTCCACAGTCGTTGCCAAGCTTCCCCTCTATCCATTTATATCTTTGTCAAGCCAAGAAACTAATCTGACATGATTAGCTACAGTTTGCGAGTGGTATCTCTTTTATCATCCACAAAGACTTTCTATTACAGCAGGGAGTGGGGAGGGGGAGAAGGTAGTTCTCCAATTTACACAGGATAACATCTGTGTCCACCTCGTACTGGTTGCATCTGGTGTAAATACTGTGCCAAATTAAATATGCAGATGACCAAAAAGGAGAATACAGTGAGATGGAAGCAGATGATCCCCTGTGGCAGCAGCTGAAGGGAGAAGTTGAAAGTAGAAGAAGGAGGAGGAGAGAAGTCCTGCTCCTGCAGTTCATCATTTAGGAGATGCAGTGTAGATTTTGACCTCCTCTCTCCGGAGAGTTTCTCTGCACAAACTTATGTCAGTTTGAGAAAGATTTCTTTTTTTGAATAGAAGTCAAGGCTAACATACATGGAAACATGCATGGTAAAATAGAACGGCAGAGTGGGACTTCAACAAAGTTCGGCAAAAAAAACTTATTCAAAATCCCACTGACATTTGTAATAGTGCTTATGAATAAAAGATGTCTGATTTAAGGTCACAGCTCAGCAGAGGATGTGTGTTCGTGGGTGAGTGTTGAGTGATCGCACTTAGCTCAGTCATGTCTGCAGTAACAGGAGGACCGACAGGGTGAATTACCAAATTTATTCAAGAGCAGAGATTATAATTTTTTTTTTAAAGTAGGAGACTCTCGCCAGCGCATGGGTGGTTGTGAATATTTTACAGCTCATTTTACCTGACATGGAAAAAAAAGAGGGAAAATAAATTATTGCATGTTTCCTCCAGAGGAAAGTCCAAAAACATGCAGTAGAATGGTATTGGGAGACTATACTGTAATTGTACTGCATTGTATGTACTCATGTGTCATATGGACTGACTTTATTGAATTTAAACTCAAACATGTTTTAATGTTTAACAGGAAAGTAAAAGTAAATAAACATAAGCTATGAGATATTTTAAATATTTCAAATAGTCCTTACAAAACTAGGCTTTTAATGCCAAAGACAAAATGTACAGATACTGTTTTATAAAAATCTAGCTTAAACCACATCATGTAAATTGCAAACAGTCTTTTTTTGTAATACTTTCAAGCCTGGACTCAAACCCACAACCCTCTGGGAGTACGGCTACTGTTACTGAGCTACTGCTACTCATCTTGAAGCAAAAATATCTACTCTAAAATGTTTGTTACAGTAAAAATATGTCATGTGACTCAAATCTACTGCAAAAATAATCATTTGGTAAATCTGGTAGAATTGTTAATATTAACCTAGACAGAAGTCCAGAAAAACAGTAACTTTGGCTAAAGATCATTTCAAACTTTAACTGAAGTCACTCACTTGCAGAAATTCAAACCGCAGCAATAAATAATAGAAAATAGCCTAGGTCAATATTAATAAAGTTGAAAAACCTTACACTGTAGAAAAGCATCAGAGAAAGTTATATAAACTCTATTTAAATCTTAAAGTGACCAGATGCTAACCAAAGCTTTCATCACCAGGCTTTGAAGAAAAAGAAAAAAATTACCCTAAAGTTTCCAATGTTATCTTAGAAAAGAGCAAAGAATAACAGACAAAAAGTCTAAAAATAGGTAAATTATTAATGGCCAAAATATTGTAAAATAATGGCAGAATATTACAGGCATTAATGACTAATTGCTAACACAAGTTGCTACAAATTAGTAGAGAAGAAAAGTACATAAGAAGAAGAAATGGAAGCATAGATGTAGCTAACTAGCTGACATAAGTATTGCAACAATGGCTATAACTTGTCTAGTTTGCCCAGAGCTGCCTTAATCAGACTTTGATCTGAATTCTGGATTTTCTTTTTAAACTATTGGCAATTCATGAAACATTAACTGTGCTGAAACCAAACTTTTCTCCTCCTCCTCAGTGCCCATGGCAAAATATATTAAAAAAAATTTATTGTGCGCAGCTGCTTGTTCATTTCTTTCACAAAACAGCTGGCAAGTATCCATGAATGGAAATAGTGGTTGACACTGAGAAACAACAAAACACTTTACATTTCAGAGCAACAGTTGGATATGTAAATGGAGCAAAGTAGAGGAGTAGATAACTGCCCCATCTTCAGGCAGTTATTAGTTTGTGCATGAGATCAGGTTTCTGTGTCTTGCTAAAAATTACAAACAAATATATCAATGTGTTATCGGTGCACACAGCCGCTCAGGAGCTGCTTGTAAAATGACATCATGACAAGACAAATCTCCCTCTTCCACCAACATCTTTTTAGAAACCACAAGCAGGTCTCTCGCCATCGCTATCGCCACCTACATCAGAAAATGGATTGCTGCCGCACATGTGAAGGATTCCCCTTCCTGCAGCGGCAACTCTTTCATACTGCGTTGTTGAACAAAGTGTAGCCTCGAGCCACACGGCGACCGCAACACAACACAGAACAACAGGAGCTAATAATAACGTTCATGCTGGAGAACTTGGTTAATTTCTGAACTGTTCCTGGTCTGATAAAATGAACATAACATACTGGTGGAGCAGAGATTTCCTTGATGATAACACCGTGCAGTGGCTTACACCTACCTCTGTGTGTGTTAAAACACAGTGAAACACACAGATTAACTGGAGGTGGTGGTTGGCAGCTAACAGTTTTTTAAGAATGTGGTCCATTTGGTCTTATTTGCATTATGCTAATTAAATGTGGGGACTGCAGCAAAGAATTTTCGACGGTTGCATAAAAGGAACCTCCTTTAAAATAAACCACAGAATCATCAACAAATGGTTCTAACATCATTCACCAATAGGTGGCAGTGCTGAAACTTGAACAAATTTGGCATGAGATAGAATTTTCCAATTCATGGTTCGTAAAAATATCATACATATATTTATGTGATATTGTTGGAAGTGTACAGCCACACCGTTCAGTGGGCGCTCATTATCATAGCATCCATCTTTGGCCTGTTCACCAACATCTGTTATAATTAAACTTCAAGTACCAGACCAATTCACCTGAGAAACATCTACACAAGTTCACTAACACTGACTTAAACTCCTCCAACTCTACGTGCACACATGTTTAAAGGAGAAAAACATCTGCAGGGACAGTATGTGCTGATATAAAGAAATAAGAAGATAAAAGATTCGATTCACTGATACTCTTTGATATTCACCACTGTGACATTCAGTGAAATGCCCTAAATTATTCTTTTTCGTCTTTTATTCATAACCTGTGAGATGCTATGACTTTTCTTTTTTGCCATTTTGCTCCCAGTCAAACTCAATCTCGCTCCTTCTCTCTCTCGCTCCCTCCCTGCCCTCGGTCTCACTCCATTCCTCCATTTCTCCTCTAACCATTCCCATGAGTAAAACCTTACTTAGCTTTCTGCATGTATGAGTGTGATTGCTTATTAGCATCAAGTATGTGATGCTGTGTTAAGTGCGATGCTGCCCTAAGAGCAATAAAATGTACTGTATGTTTGTCATAGTAATGAGTACTGGTAATCATGCACTGATGGCAGTCGTGTCCACTTGAAAAATGAATGAAGACCATTTATTTCAAGGAGTCCTGTAGTTACAATACACATACATTTCACGTACCACATATCTAGCATAAAAAAGAAAATTAAGTTGAATTAGTATGAGCTAAGAACAAATTAATGTCAACAAAGCTAAGAACATATTTTTATAAAGAATAGACAATAAAAGGCCTCATTAAAGGTTTATGTCTTGATAGCTAAAAGTCAGAAAAGTAGTTATAACAGCCCAAAGAAAATATTCAACTTCACCTTAGAAACAGTAGAATTAAGTCCAAATAGCAAACATTTAGACAAACTAAAATGTAGCCCAGAAATAAACTCTAAAGAAAAGGTAGTGCAGAAAAAAGAGACAATAGTTAGACAGTTAGTTGACCGATAGCTACAAGTTAGCCACAAAAAATACTGAGGTTATGAAGATGTAGCAAAGAAACATAAAAAAAAAGTCTCTAATTTGGACAAGTGTTACCTAAACACTAGCCAAGAGATGATTCAAATTGTAATTAAAACTGTTTTTATTTTAATGGTTTCAGATAAGCTAGCATCACCAAAATAGCTACAAATGAAGAAGTACACATATCAACAATAATGAAGATGAAACACGCACATGATAAAGTTAACTTAGGTAATTAACCAATAACCATAGTTTGCAACAAAGACTAAAATTTAGCCAAAGGTTAGCATTAACTTACAAGAACCGTCAACATGATGAAGGGCCATTATTAGGAACCATATTTCACCTGATACATTTGCACAGCCTTGCTGATTGGATATAAGTGATTCAGAAAAGAAATGTGCTGTACAGCCAAACACAGCAACACAGAGAAGTTAGCCCACAGATAATGTCGCTGACAGCAGCTTTTATACATCGAGGTATGAAAAGAGATTAATATTCATCAGCGCAATTACCCTTTAAACATCAACACGGCAAATGTGTGCCTCCTCCCCTGCACTGTGCTGCTGAACAGACTCCCAACAGGGAGCCATAAATTCATACATCTGCAACAATGAAGTGAATCAAACTTGTGTAAATGTCAACACTCTCTATTGTTGACAAACGATCGATACAAGCGGACGGTCGAGGCATTTGGTCTTTTCGAGGCCCTCGGTTTAATTCAATAATTTTCACACTGAGTTCCTCGGCAATTGCTATTGATGGCTACTAAGAGCCCCAGCCTGCACACACTCCACTGTTGATTTGTTGCTACTGAAATGCATCAAATAACACTTGAGTATGTCAGCTGCCTTTTTTTTTCTCTGCCCCAATACAATTTGATACTTTATTCGGATTCAGCGTGGAGGTTAAAATGGATTGTTGGTTTGTTAAACAGGTTCCATTGTGTTTTGGCCATGTTTCCAGAATGTTCACAGCAAGAGACAAAGAATAACAGGGGCTGTCGGCAGCACTGACTGGATCACAACACCACCTGTGCATGTTGGTGCTGACTCACACACTGTGACCCAGGCTTCTGGCCAGTACACTGTGACACAACTCTGAATGTTTTATAGTTTATCATGAGCTTAGAAGATGCTGCTTCATTTAAACAGAGGGAAAACTGCACAAGTGATCCATCAATAATCTACGGCATATTCCTCTGCAGAGTCGCTGGAGATCAGCACTGGAGCCAAGCTGTCAATTGGTGAGGGTGGGGTACAGCCAGTACATCACATGACCATGTATGGAGACAAAGTGTATGGAGAGAAAACCTACAAACACACACGAAGAACATGCAAACTCCAGTGCACTGCAGTCAAAACCATGACCACTAGGTGGTGCTAATCAAGGAACCATTAACAAGAGTTTTCCCTTTCAGTAGTGTCAGTGTGAAATCTGCTTGAGATGAGAAAAAATTGTGAAAAACTTCATCAACAAATGTCATTTCACCAATTATATTTCAAGTCAGTCATGGGTTGTTTGGTAAATTCCAGAAATATACAACAAGATTTGACTTTTTATTAAAATTGACAAATTAAATCAAAGAAGCTGACCTTGAGGTCAGTAAAGTAACTTTTCCGCTCATACTGAGCCGATGTACAGAACACTGAATTCAGTGTTTAGGATAGCTCTAAACCCTGGCTTCAACTTTTTCTTTTTAATAATTTTAGGAATGTTATATATAAGTTGCTGTGTATGTTTAAGTTCCCAAAATGCAACAATTTTGTTATGCTTTCAATGCTTTGGTCCAATTAAAATACTTATAAGGATTCCCTTCACTCTGACATTTTACAAAGGTTTTTACTGATTATTCAGTCTAATTTTGTCCTGATGATTTTGTGAAGCTGCTTGTGGGATAATTAGAACAGTGCTTTCTGATGACAGTGCCTGAAAATTACTCATCAACATATTGTTAACAGAGCACGCAGTCTAAGTGTTGTTATGTGAATTGATCTTTTTATCCTTGAGAGACATCCAAAATGTCAAGAAGAAAATAAATATTGCATGAAAATACCACACTCATCCATCTGATTGCTTGCCTCTCCACTGCTGCCCACAAGGGGCGCTGTGGCTAATCATCTCCCTTTATATAACCTCATAACCTTAATCAATAGCCTTTCTGCTCAGCCCACATCAAGACTAGACCCTCTTTCTTGCTCTTAATTTTTAAGCTAATTCCTTTTATTTCTGTACTACCTCACAAAAAAAACAATTGAAATTAAATTAGTGAAAAAAAGTAACTCATGGGCAAAATTGGATTGATGTAATTATCTACATCAATTTGCAGCCTGGCTGTTGGGGGTTAATGGGCCAGAAGTGGTCCCAAGCCAGGAGTTTTAGACCACTGCAGGTTTCACTTCTATTTTTTCAAGATCACTTTTGCACTCTTGCAGAATTCCTTGTCTGTCACACATCAACTCCTGACACTTGTCTCCACCCACTCGACCCTGCCTGCTGCCTATTCATCCCCTCTGTAGTGTATGTCTGTTGATGGTTGACCTCTCCTTTACCCCCGTTGGTCTCCACCTCCTCCACACCTTTAATCTTCACCTTACCATCACTTCCTGACGTATTCTGTCTGCCTTCTCTCCAATGTATACCTTTACTTCTCCACTCTCCTACACCTTTTTTGAAATTATTAACAGACGCCAACATTTCACCTCGTTTAGCCAACATTTTGTTTGTACACTTTCCAGCTGTCCTTTCCTCCCTCTGCTGGGACACAGGAAACATCACACAGGCAGCAATGTCCCAGTTGGCAGGTGCAGTATCAACAAGTTCTCACCTTGTTTTGTGCCGCTGCGTCCCTCTGCTGATGATAAATGTGTTGAAGCAAAAATATGTACGTGTCACTTGGTTCCCAGCTGGGTGGACAGACCTCAGGCCTCTGGAGCTGCGACTCTCTACGTAGAACCGTAATTAGAGAGGGACTGGATGTCGTGTCACTGGGCCCACATTGTTGTCACTGCTGTCTGCAGCCTCAACCAGAGAAGTGTCCATTCACTCAAGGTCTCACACACAAGGGAGGGGGGGACAGAGCTGGGTTCCATCTGCTGAAGACAAGTGACATTAATGAATACACTTTACATTAGACTCAGAATTTGGACAGACACTCCTGTCAGAAACTACTGTTCAAAGCTAACTTTGAGAAGTTGTTTACATTTGAACCACATGTAACTTCACCTGTTACTGATCATTGACCTTATATAAGGAAATGGATGTAGCTTTGGGGTTGCAAATGTGAAGATGTAGAAGAGATGTCATAAAAAAATGAAGGTATTGTCATGCAAATCATAGGAACAAAACCAAGTATTCATTGTCTTCCTGGAATCTGCAAACTTTCATATTTTTTTATACAAAAACTACCTAATGATACTCTACACAACCATTGTTTAAAAAACAAGTTAGACAAACAGTTATATAAAAAAACATAGTAAAGAATACGTAAAACATATTGATGTTGGAAACATCCAGGGAGGGTAACACACAAGACTGAAGACAAACAGTTAAATAAAAAAACATAGTAAAGAATACGTAACCTAAAGGCCCTGTATCTTCAAGGCAGAAGTAAATGTTTACTTTGAATTAAAAAATCCAGATTAAAAATTTCAGTTCAACTATCACTGTTGCTACAAAGTGTTGATAAATAAGCTTAAAAATAGTATAAATTTGAGTTTTATTTATTTAGTATTTCAGGAGATGTTCTTACACCCATCCCACTTTTCTGTTCCACATCAGGGTCTTCCTCTTCCTGTTCCTGCCCGGTAGCTGCAAATTGTATTGTCCATTATATCCAGTATCTATGTTCTGCACATGTCCAAACTATTTCAGCCTCTGACTCTCCAACTTTATCTCCAAACTGTCCAACCTGGCTGCTACCACTGATATTCTCATTGCTAATTCAGTCCAACCTGCTCTCTCCCACTGAAAATTTCAGCATCTTCAACTCTGCCCCCCTCCAGCTCGTCCTGCTGTCCTTCAGACATGGCCCACTGTCTCGCTGCTGTTGCTCTCCGAGGGCAGTACACTGACCTGAGGATGTTTTTGAAAAGCCAGCACTTTAGTTTGAATGTTCAGCGAGTCAACATGTCTCCCTGTAACCTCTGAGCTGTCGTCTCCTGTACGTGTGGCCTTAAAGCTTCCGTCAGCTGCGGCCTGACCTGTGTGCGCTCAGACAGTTGGTTAGTGTGACAGTAACTGGGACCTATGCCACAACAATCCCTGTGCTCTCTTGCCACTACACCTCTGACACATTTACAGGAGGGCATCTGCTTGTTTATCCCATCTGTGGGCAGAAACAGCAACACAAGACTGATTCTAAGAAATACAACTTTTCATTCATAATTTTTTTTTTTTAATATCTATATGCTCTGACCATAAAGAAAGAGAGCATACAACACAATGTGTACATGTGTGGGACAGGTTAAAGCTATTATTACATTTTTGAGCTTTAAATTTTTTCTAAGATAATTTTTAATATTTACTTTTTTGAACTCACCAAAATGCCCCAAAAGCAAATGTACGACACAGGCAACAGCAGCAAATGGAATTTTCCTCCTGGAGGTCAGACTCAGCCAGATGCTCATGAATACAGGTGTAGCTTATGAAGAAACCTGCGGTAAGAGAAGTTCTGTGGGCTGAAGTTTGTAAAACGCTCAAGGTCACTTCCTGTTTATTTGCACTCGGTCACATAGTGGCTGTCAAAACTATTGGCTACACCTCCCTGACCCCTCTGTTCCGGCTGCAGCATACTAACATGACAGTCTGTGGATTTCTTCTCTTGTTCTTTTGAATCATCATTCTGTTCTCCCACCCTCTATGCTGTTGTGTTTGATTTAATGTGCACTTTATGTCCTTGTGATGTGTTCTATTTGTTGTCCACTTATTCGACAAAGTTATGTCACAGAAGTTAAGTCTCTAGGATAATGACGGAAATTTGAGGAAACAATTGCAGGCATGACGCAAAGAAGAAAAGATGTTTAAAGCGGAATTTAAGAGACGGAAATTAGGAAAAAATGACTAACAATTCAAGTTAATTGGTACAGAGCTCAAAGGCTGGAACATTAGAAGTGAATTATCCAGTATGACTTGGAAAGAACAAGCAGAACCTGATCATGAAGTGACAGAAGTGGACATTGGTGGGACTAATGAATCACAGGTGTGGCCGATCAACAGGGTTACAAGAAGGAAACAGAAAAACTAAACCAAACTGTAATATAAGTTTGTTTATAATATATGTTTATTTTACCACAATGTAATATTTGCACTAGAAATAAATATACCCCTTTTTTGTGTAAGACCCAAGAGAGCCCCAAAAATTATAAACATTAATAAAAATTTGTATCAAAAATTTATAGCATGCAGATGTCCCTCCCTTCACTGCAGGTGGCGCTATAAACACAGTTTATATACTCTGGTCTATTTGATTTTGCTAGGCTTACATGATAGTTTTGTTTTATCTGATTTTGTTACTAGGTCACTCTATTCCACTCTTAAACTGATTTTGTTAGCCTTAGTTAGCCTAACATTTAGCTTTTGAGGCTAGCTTTTTATTTGGCTGTAATAAAAAAAAGAACAGACTAAGGTGACAATGGCCTTGCTGTGTTGTGTGACAAACTCATGAACATGAAGCTCTGATGTCAATATTTCTGTCTCCTCCAAAGATGGCTAGATGTTAAGAGAAAAAAACACCAGCAGAGGGCAACATTCAGGCTAATGAAAATCTTATTCAAAATTAAGAGGACAATTATGGGTTTTTATTCTTACATATTATGAGCAAATGGACATTTTCAGTGTCAGTATCAGCCTATTAAAACAAAAGAGGATGGAAATAAAATAGTCAAATAGAATGTGGCAATTTGAATAAGAAAGTGATACAAACAGCTGCTTACAAAACTAAACACATTAACACCAACGCTCCACTGCCTAAAATCACAGGAGCCTGAAGAGACAGCTGTCTGCCTTCCATTCTAATGACGTCCATGTTGTCCACCATTCTTTTCAGTGATTAGTAACACCTGTCAAAAATGTCCATTTAAGGAAATGAGCCTAAATTGTTGAACTTTTCTATTGTACCAAAAAGATGTCAATTTATAACTGTTATAAATTATTTTTAATTATTGTAATTATATGACACTATATTCCTTACCGTGGTGCTTTGGCCCAGAGGCAATGTCTCTGTCATTGGTGTGGAACCCCAGGGTTCACCCCCTGGGCAAGATCAAATTCCGGTTAGGGCGGTTGGTACCTTTCACTGGACTCACCACCTGCAAGAAGGTTCGGGGGTTAGTACCGTGCAGTGTGATTTGGGTGGCGACTGCTGCCCCCGTGACTCGGTAACAGATGAAAATAGATGGATGGATGGATGGATGGATGTTTTCCATACCAGTTAGTAATGTTACCATCTTGCTTAGAAGGCAAGAGATGGTGTACATCAACAACCGCATGTTAAAACCATATATACTGACTTACAGCAAGATTTTGTTGCTAGAACAAATGTAACTAAAAGTAACTAAAATTTGCAGAATCAGCAATACTTGCATACAATTATATATTAGGGTTACATACCACAAAATATGTAGCAAAATGGAACCTGTTGTCTTTTGTTCCTATCTTATAAGGCTTTTCTATCTAGTTATCAATATTTTATTATAAGTATTTTCTATTTAAAAACAATAAGTTTGACTGTAGTTTGGTTGATGAAAAAGGAGAAGTAAATATATCTCTGACACGTTTCACAAGTTTCCCAGGGGTTTGGAGGGGAAAATGGTCTTTTTATAGTGAAAATGCAGACAAACGGTTAGAACGACAAATGAGGAAAATGCCTGTGTTTTACAGGAATGATACTTAATTACATTCAAAGCTGCCATTTAGAGTCCATTGTCATGCCTAAACGTTGGCAGACCTCAGCGTGTTGACTACATCCTTCTGTTTTTTCTTTCCCTTGATTTGTTTTTCTTCGCACATTTTGGGGTTACACGGCATAACCGTTGCAAAGCCTTTATAATTTCCCCAGTAATCAGTCTGTTCTCTTTCTGTGGCAAAGCTTTAATCAAACATCTCATAGCCCCTACCAGTCAGAAATGTGTTATTCGACTGAAACACAAAAAAGCATGCAATTACTCCCAAAGGATCTGTCCCTCCTCTCCGCTCCAGCTGCAGAAAGGAGGATACCATTCCAAACACGTTTCTTTTCCTTTTTTCCTGCCTTCTTCAGTATACTGGAAAACACATACACACATAGACACACACACACATCATATAGAAATGCACTATTTACAGCTCACTCCTATATGGAAACATAATCTAATGATGAATAACAAGGACTAAAGGCAGTTTTAATGTAAATATGATTAGTTTTTATATCATTTATTATTTAATGTCAGGCACTATAATTAAACCTTTGTTAATGAACAAAGTGTTTTTTCTTCTTTCTGCCATGGCAGGTACAAATTAAAGTTGTTTTCATATTTATAGCTCTGTCATCCCACTGTGTCTTCCTTGTAATTTAATAAGATCTATTGAATTACAAGTCTCAAGATGACATTATTTAATAAATAGGTAAATGCTTCTTTAAGTAACTGGAACACAGGAAGTGAAAATGTGCACAGTGGAAGAAAATAGTTCCCACCCTAACTATCTCTCCACAAAAGCATGTCCTCATTTCTTCCACCAGCCAATACTGTGGGGATCAGTGACAATAGCTTAAAGAGGCCCAGACAAATGGAAACAAACTACCTTGTTAACAGAGGGAAAATGTAAACCTCTTCAGTTTACTCATTGTCGCTAAAGACGTATGCATACACAGCAGGAAAAGTATTTATCACGGAATGCTGCAATGTACGTAGGAGATTATCATTATTGATGAGCTACAGTGTGTGAAAAATGTTCATGTACGAAAGAACAAGGTGAACAGTTTAAGTTGGTTGTGTTTGGAATGAATGTGGTCCAAAATATAGATTAAACTAGACAATTCCTATTACACATGAATAATATTATCCCTTAGCTCAAGTAAAAAAAAGGCTTTTCACTATTACTGCAAGTTACAGAGACATTTCCAGCCAACCCAATTTGATTTTAGTATGATAAAAAACATTTAATGACTCATAATAGAACATATTAAAAATGGTGGGGACACCACAATGTTTATTAATTTGTCTCCTCAAATCAGATTATTTTTTTAATGATTGTGTTGACTACCGGTTTTCCCCTTTATATTTTTCTGACATAGTGTGAGAACAAGTAATCTTAGTTTAGATCAAATTAGTTGGGACTTACTCCTGACAGTAGGTATAAATTAACCATTAATTTATTTAATAACTTTGTCCTGCAAAAACACTGTTAGAACGGTGCCTTAAATTTGCTATTGCTGAGGCATAATCCACATGAATGGACATCGTTTTATTAGCTCCAAAATCAGTTTTATAATTGGTTCTGTTGTGTTGTTGTGGTTTATTTTTTATTAGATTGTTGTCTATTGCTGAATATAAAACAAGGTGAGCAGACCCTACGCTGATGTGTCGGAGTTTTAAAGAATTCGTTCGTTGTTTTTAAACATTTTTTAACGTGCTGCTCGTGAACGCAACCCCGATCAGGCTCACGTTAACCCAGAAGTAGTGGATTTAGATTGGACCATATTAAACATCTGGGCTAAAGAACATGGGAGACGACTTGGGGGACGAGTGGTGGAAACATGATGGTAAGATATTTATCTTATTATCTGTGTTCAATTTGTCATAGTCGTGGAACTTCCACTGGTGATAGCACGACGAGCTACACGTTGTCTCACGATGTCTCGCGAGGTCCTAAGCTACACTGTATGCTAACGTTGTTACACTTGTGTGGCTAATCTGTTTCTTTTTAAAGCTGTAAGTTTAACTGACATACACGTCTAACACTGTATATAAAAACCCGAGACTGAGTGAGTGTCACTCTGGCTCACATTTGAGTCGAGGACATTAAAAGTTGATATTTTGATAAAAATGTCACACGGAGCTAGCACTTAGGGGGGGTGTGTAAACACTCACACGTGTGTCTTTATGCATGGTATTGAGAACAATTTGACATCATACTGTACCTTAGGGTCAAACCTTTGTTTTAGTTGTATTACTATCTTGATGTTAAGGTCCTGCTGTTTTCAAATGGTGCAGTTGAGGCTACTTGTAAATATGTGAATAAATATGTAAATAATTATTAATAAATGGGTCCCACGAAGTCATTCAAGCCAATAAATATAAATGCAGTAGTTTCTACATTTCACACAAATGACCCAGTTAGACCTAAATTATAGATATATGGTCAGTTTAGAGTGTGTAATGAACATAATGCCTCACCTGTGACAGGAAGCAATTTGTGGAATGAGGCAACAAACTGCATTTTGAAACGAGTCATAACTGTTTATGTAACTGCACATTTTTGAAAATCTAAGGTTGGTGTGCATTTTTTTTAAATGCCTGGACAAATGATTTTGCTCTTACCTAGGCCTTCAGTGATGGTATTTATTGTCCAACTTCAATAAATACCTCTCATAATATCATAATTTAGTACACCACGTGACAACGGCTGGAGAAATTGCATACAGAAACACACTATAAGCACTACATGGCATTGCATCACCTCAATTGTGTACAAAACGGGCTATTTTATGACGCATTTAAAATTCAATTTTCTTTTTTTTTTTCTTTCGACTTTGTCCCTTTTTTCAGGGGTTGCCACTGCGAATCATTGATTTCCACATTGCCCTGTTCTCTCAATCTTCAAAAGATCCGCAATTAAATAAATAACATTTTTGTACTCACCAAAACAACTGTCCTCCAAAACAGTTATTTTAACACAAAGTCCATTCTCCTTTCTCTCCTCAAGAAGACCTCAATGACTTGGTTGTACAGTTTATCTGTGCGCTTCAGTTCCAACAATAAATCCCTTTCGCACCTGTTCGTTTAGCTGTGCATCCACTCGGGTGTCCCCAAAAGTTTTTAGAAGAACCGAAGCTTGCAAGTGTCCAGTCGTGCTTTGGTGTCTCATTGCTGCCGTCGTTAAGCAATTTAAATTCGCAAATCCACGTTTTGCCCTCCTTCGGCCATTATGGAATAAAAAAGCGAGTAGCTATTATATTTCTCTCTCTGCTAATCGGATAATCTGCGTTGAACTTGCTTCTTGTTGTTTTACGGCGGGAAACGAGTATCCAATCACAGGACGCATACATGTCACGTTCAACATGAGGCAAGCTAGAAGACCTACTGTCAACAACTCGTGATCTGATTGGCTATCGCAACTGTTTATCAACTGTATGTGCCCGTTCGGATTGCTTACATTGCACAGACGCCCGCATTGTTGACTTCATACTTCATAGATTTTATACAGCCTGGCAACAGTTAGCTGAATTCTGATTGGATAAAAACTCTAACCTAAAAACAACAACACTGGAAGGAACCTAATATGACATGAAGAGAATATGAAGAATATGAATTATGCTTTTATGTATTTAGGAAAAGTAAATTAAAAATGAAATAAACTTTTATCAACTAATGATCATGATCTATGTTAGGCCAACAGAGAAGGCCTTGCTGGCCCTGATGGCCCACCACTGTATTTACACAATAAGGGAAATCTATATAATACAATTCTGAGCATGAAGTAATCATTAAAATATTTTCCTATACCCTTTATTATAAAAATTGCAACTGACTAAAACCAAATGCATTTATTCCATCCCTCCCTCCCTTGGTATGTCAGTAGTTGAAGGTCGCAGTAGTTCTCACCTGCATATTCATGCCCTCTGCATACCAATAGAGGGCCCTCATGTGCTTTGAGGATTATTGACCTGGTCTTGTTGGACCGAAAAGTGCTTTTTCATGAGGTATAAAGCACTCTATTTATTATATAAAGACGTATTGTCTGATTTTTTTTTCTTCCATTGGTGAATACTGGAATTTATTGTATTCCTTACAACCCATTTATTGTCATTCTAAAAGACATATTTATCACATAACTACATTTTATTATTTGAACTTGAAAATAACATTTTATATATAACATTATACATAACATTTTAAACTTATTTAGGGGACCACAAGGTGGCAGGTGCTTTATAGCAAGAATATATGGTTAGCTGTTTCAATCCCAGTCTTTTTCTGTTCAATTTGAAAATGGTTCTTTCAGTTTGGGCCTGTGTTTTTTCCACATACCCAGTTTCCTCTTGCATTTAAAAAACATTCAGAATAAGGTTAATTTGACATTCTAAGTGTTTCGTTTGGACTGGCAAATTGCCTACATACTATGATCTCACCTGATGCTAAATGCTGAAAACAGGAAATAAAAGTTTAATATTAAGTGTACGAAAGATACAAGAAAAGTCTTGCTTAATGTGAGAACTACTTCTGCACAGCATGCACTGTCTCATACAGTATTTTAAACAAACAACGTGTCATTGTGTAAGTGAGGATATTTCCTTTTACATTACGGGCATAAGCAAAATCACATTTCTTGCACATGTTTGAGTCTTTTTCACCTTATATTTTTACAATCTATTTTTAGTTCTCAACATGATGTAGTCTCAGGGATGTTGGGACACTTTCAGGTCAGCGATTTCTTTGGATACATTGTGGGATTTTTTCTGTTTTTCTCTCTCGTGTTGAGAGCCGTGCTGCTTTTTCTCTTTGTGCCACATCCTTTTGTCTTGGGAATCCTTGATGGTCCAGGTTTCTGCTGCGAACCCTGGGGAATAACAATCTGTTAGGTGGTGTTCACAGAATGTTCATACCTGCACACACATCTTTCTCTGTGAGCTAAGGATAAATAGGCAAGCATATGCTTCTTTCCATCAACCTAATGGAATCATTAATTAGTGCTCCTAATTGTTGGTATCGTGGTCTATGCTTGCTTTTAGCACACATCAGAGGGTTTGTACTGGGGCCTAAATTATTTTAATAAAATGCTGCTGTGTTCTAAACAAAAAAAAGCAAAAACAAACTAATATTAAATGCATACAAATTACTAATAAAGTGAGATAATTAATTTAATTAAATTCTAAACAAATGCTTACAGAGTAGTAGTTTGCATGTGGTAAAACATTCCCTCAAAAAGCTGAATGCTAGTATACTTATAATTACATTAAGCCAGTTTGACTTTGGTAGAAATGACTAAGATTACATAAAGTAGCGAAAGAAAAGAAAATGACTAGAAATTATATATAATCTACAAGAAAAAAAAACTTAGATATAGCACCAGAAAAAGTATAACTAAATTAACTAAAACCTAACTTAGTGAATGTTAGTTAGCCAAAAACATAAATCTACAACTAGGCAAAATATAAGCACAGAAAATGTCTTAAAAGATGCCAAATACATAGAAATATTTAAACAATAAACTAGCCTGTAGTTAGTCAAAGTGACGGCTAATGCGTAACAAAACGAGTGCAATTCAAAATGAATGACTCTAACACTATTGTAATTTGGAAACTGGATGTGCCAGGGGCTATTTTATTCTTCCTTTATTTTTTAGCTTTTTGAAGGAGACTGTTTTTCAGGTTGAATCATTACATCTGTATTTAGCCTAAATATTATTGTAGCTATTACATTTGTTATTAGAATGCAACTGGATTGGAGACAGTATGCAGATCCTAATAACCTAAAATGTCATGACTTTCGAGAACTGTTCCGTTTACAGACAAATGGACCAGCTGCAGTTGACAGGACCAGTATGGTTTAACTTTACTGTATCGCTCAAGGTGAGAAACGATTGCACACTGTTCTGATTGTTTCCTGTTGATGAGGCTTCAATGTGTGTCTAGAAATTGTATAAGCGGTCATCAGAGTTCTCACAGTTTCTTTCTTGTTGTCTAAAGTTTTTTTTTTTTTTAAACTTTAACCAGGAAATCCAATTCCAAATTTAAAAATAACAACATAATTCTAACAGGTTCAATTCAAAATGTTAAGAGTCCATGAATCATTTTTTTCAATGAAATGCATCTGTTTCTTTTTTGGTCCATTAAATGGTCTTTGTTGGTTCTTTTGAGTGGAAGCTAATGGACATTTTTAATTTAATAAAACCCACCATTACGTAACGTATTCAGAATGTTGTGTCTTTAAATGGAGAAAAAAAAAGAAATATTTTCCTGCAGGGACTGCAATAACTGTTCTAACTGGATAGTTATAACCCACTATTTATGCAATTGCAGAACTTTATAGCTGATTTTTTTTAAAGTCTTGCACATAATGTAATCTCCAAGTGGCCTACAGTATATTTTATGATTTTGTTTTCAAGTTTTGAAAGCGCCTAGAAGTTTCAAAAGGTGCAACTGTACATCTTTTGTAAAAGAGAACCTTATTTGATGTTTAAATACAGAAAAAAATGTAATTATTATTTGAAATAAAATGAAAAAAATCAAAAAGTATTGGTATAAATATGTAAACAATGTAAACTGAATTATGTCTGGTGAAAACAATAAATAAAACACTCGTAATAATAATTCAAAATATACTGTATATATAATTAAAAAAAAATTTAAAAATTTGAATATGTTGAGAAAAAAACAAAGCTTTAATGAACAAAAAAGAACACAAATAAAACACAAAACCATAAAAGTACTGGATGTGTTTAATTGAAATTATATTTTCTCTTAAACATAAACAAAAAAGGAAAAAAAAATGTCATTCAGAGTCAGTAAGTCCAGGTACAAATGACACATCGAGCATGTTTGACAAATGTTAGTGTCCGACAGATGCAGTATAGCGTTTATGCCACCATTGTTGTCAAATATATAGAACATTGTTATGTGTAAATGCAATCATAATTCAGTTCTAGATGCATATAGATGCCATATTAAATATTTGTGACAGTTGGAGGGAAAAAGTTGTAGAGTCTATTCCCCTAATCACAAAGACCACTTACTGTAATATTTGAGGGGTGTGATGCTGGAGAGGTAGCGGGAGTTATCGTGATGCTACTTGTTATCTTCCCAGCACCTTTGACCTGACACCCGCTGGTAATGACTTGAGTTCTTTGCTCATGCCTAAGAAAGTATGATCCATCTGGCTGTGGTAGGCTGTGGGCTACACCATTATGACCTTGAATGTAAGGGCTCCCTAGGTGAATGTGGATCTTGTTGTCCTCTGTGGTAATGATGCTGGGACTTGTGTCGGTACTGTTGGCCTGTTTCTGATGCTGCCAACTATTCTGCCACTCTGGTGTTTTACAATAGATAGCCTGGTTTGCGGCTTCCACTGGATCTGGAGAGCACGTCCTGACGGTGACAATCTGAATTGGGGATCCATTGAGTTCAGGTGTCACTGAGCGTGACGAACTTGGGCTCAACACCCGAGTGATGGTTGTGCCATGGAGTGGAGACATGGTGCGATCGGGGCTTGATGGAGGTGTTTTGGCGTTGACTGCTGGCAGACCTGAGTTCTGGATGATGGTTATTCTCTGCTTAGGGGAGGCTCCACCTGACGGGATGACGGCTGTGCTGGTGTAGGATGGGGTTGTGTCTCCAGTGGGGCTGCTAATCTCCAGTGTGGCTGTGTTCAACATGTGATGAGGTGTTACCTTGATGTGTAAAGGCTGCCCTCTGGTGTGTGTTAACATCATCACGTCGCCGTTAACCGTTTGGTGCATATCTAAACCAGGACCTGAATGGCTGCTGTTGTATTGGCTCAGGTTGTTATTGGCACTGTTCAGGCTGTTGAGGTTGTTGACAAGAGATGGTCGTCTGTTTATGATCCTTCCATTATGGTTTGGATCCTTGTCATCGTTATCTCCACCTACCTTCTCACCATTCTCAGTGTAGTCATAGAGCAGACTTTCTACTGTCTCAGTTTGTACCTCCTTGGTGGCCTGATGGAAGAGTTTCCTGCCAGAAATAGGGGTCAGATTCTTGGATGGTCTGCATCTATCTAGCTCACCGTTAAGTTCTTTCATCTCTGAGGCCAGTTCCTTGTTTCTGGCTTCTTGCTGGGCCAGTTTCTTCTGAAGTGTGGAGTGATCTGTCTGTACTTTACTGATGGACTCCTCAGTCCCCATCAGCTTCTGAAGTTTCTCCTTCAAGATATCAACCTCTCTGGCTAAGAGTCTGGACTTTACTTGTTCCTTCTGGAGACGACAAAGAAGGAGGTGCTCCTGGTTGACGTCCTCCTTTTCTGCACGCTCGTACTTGGACAGCTCCTTCTTTGCAACCTCAAGTTCCTCTGTAAGAACTCTGGATCGCCTCTGTTCTTCCTTGAACCTCTTTTCCAGAGACTGAAAGTTGTCCAACCTTTTTTGCAGCTCTCCCTCCAATGCTTCCTTGTCACAAAGTCTCTTTCGCAGCCTGTCCAGCTCCTCGGTCAGCTCTTTGACTTTGTTGTCCTCTAGCTGGCAGTGGTGATTGGCATTGTTTGGAATAGACCCATGTGTGTACTTCTCCTCCTTTTCTTTCCTGTTTTCTAAAACTTGTAGCCTTTTCTTCATTATTATGACTTTATTCTGCAGCTCTATATTTCTTTCCTCTTCTGTTTTCAGTCTTTCTTGGAGCACCTCTTTTTCCTTTGCTATACCCTTAAGCTTTTCCTCTAAATCTGCTTGAGAACTTAGTGCCTGCTGCCTCTCTTCATTTAGTCTCCCTGTCATCGTTGTCAGAATGCTGTGCTCGTTTCTTTTGCTCTCCCTCCTGTTCAGTTTTTCCTCAGCCTGCTGCAGCCTCTCAGTCATGGCCTTTCTGTCCTCCACCAAAGCCACAGTTAGCGACCTCAGCTTGGTCAAGTCCTGTCGAATCATTGCTTCGTTCTTTTCCATCTGGCTTTCAGTCACTTCTAAGTCTCTCATCTTGACTTTCAAAGAGTCAAGCTCACCTGACAGCATCTTGCTTACCTCTCTTTCTCTCTCTAAGCTTCCCTTCAGAACACTACAGTCCTGTTTGCTCTTGACTAAAGCCTCCTCTATCCTGTCTAATTCACTGATTCGTCCATTCAACTTATCCACTTCAGCCCTAAGGCTATGACTGTGGCTCATCTCCTTTGCCAGTCGGCGGTCCAAGTCCCGACACTGGTCCCCCATGCGCATCAGCTCTTCGTCTTTCCCCTCCATTTCCACCACTCTTCTCCTCAGTACTTCTACCTCCGACAGCACACCCGTGGTTGTCATGGTGTCTTGGCTTTGTTTGAATATGGAAACTTTGTGCAGCGATGCAACCACCACTTTGTTTGCACCGGAGTAAGCAGCGTTGACGTCCTGCTTGATGCGGTCTGTGGTGGCGGTCAGTTCTCTGACGCAACACCTCTGTTCCTCCAGCAGTTCACTTAGACACTGTTGCTCTGTTACCACAAGCAGTGCAAAGGCCTTGAGCTTTTTCAGCTCTTCTTTCAGGGCTGATATTTCTCTCTCATTTTTTTTCTCCTTAATTTCTTGATAGTTTCGTTCTTTTACAACCAGCAGCTTAAGCCTGTAAGGAAAAAAACAAATGATAAATGTGAAACAGAAAAGTAGGAACAGCTTCTACTGTATAAATGATCTTTTTTTTTATTTTTTCTGCAGACCATTTGTGGTGTTTATGCATAAACTTTTGGACACAATTTAAAATAAAATATTTTCCAGGATAAACATTTCTCTTCATGTTGGAAAGAATTCACATGACACAACATCTCTGACATGAATTTCCTGGAAACCTACAAATTGTTGGTTTGAAATGTTTGAATCACTGTCAACTTGTAAACCCTAAAACGCATATTTATGTAACTGTCCTTGTAGGGATTTCGTTTTTGGTTCTTTGCACTTCTCCACATGCAGCCTTGTGGATATAATGTTGACTAACTTGGCAGATGGTCCCTTGGCAGGGAGTGTTTGTTAATTAAGAAGTTCCTCCACTCTTGATTACCCTCGACACTGCAACCAATCACCCTCCCTCTGTGCACCTTCAGTGCTACTCCATTTCCAGCAATGTGAGGCAGGAACTCTCCCTGTTCCATTAGTAATTACAGACTAGCAGCGTTCACTAAGTGCCGTAACTCCTTACATTCCTGCAGATCTACTGGTCAGGCAGAATGCACGAGCAAGTCTTGTGTGTTATTACAGTTAAGAAATATTTTAAAAATGAATTCTTGCTTGTGCAATTTTTTTTAATTTTTTTTTTTTGCAATTTGGATTTAAATATTTGTTTTACTAGATTTCTTCTAGGTTGTGAATTTTAGGTCCATTTGCATTTTTTGCATGTTCTCAAGTTTACATTATTGTTTTAATGTTTGCCTTTGTACGTGCAAATTTAAACACCATGTTCTACCCAAGCAACCTAAACTAGAGTGTTAAGGAAACAATGACAGTTAATTTCAGCAGAGGATTTTTAAAAAAAAACAATTTCCAAAATTACTATTGTTGACATGTGTATGTAGGTGTTAAATCAGGATAAACCTTTTTGGAAAATCTCAGCACCTTAGCTTCTAATGTTCAAATGCGTTCAAAACTTCTCAAACTTACGCATTAACTGTCAGGTTTATTAAAGACATTTAAATATACACCAAAGTCATCTTAGAACAAAAGTAGAACTTCAGATTTACTCCTAACTATATACTGTAACGTTACGCATGTCTCATTCTGAACTGTCATACAAAGTTGTTTGGTTGCAAATGTTTTGTAATTCATAGTTTTCAACTTTCAACTATGTTGACAGTTGAGTTTGATTGTTCCTACCTGTGATACGGTCTTGGCCCCCTGTCCTTTTAAATTCCTCAGAGAATACAGTTAACTCTAGTCTTTCCTCTGTGCCTTTCCCGGAGATCCCAGTGATGTGGACATTCCATCCAGAAAACCAAACATTATGAGAAGTGCTCTGCGCACGGAGTCTCACTTGAAGCCAGTGGCGCCCATTACATCATCAGCAAGACCTTATATGGGACTGTACAGACTCTACAGCTCTAAGTGTATGTGTGTGTGTGTGCGCGTTTTGAATCTG